CAAATGAAATGTTTAAATTCTATATCCAGTTATGTTCTAGAAAATGATTTCAAAACGTCTACATATATAACATGCATTCACGAACATCAAATTAGTTTACCATGGAACGAAACAATCATTGAATACAATTAGACATTCAACAGGGAGAGCAGTCCTTATATAAACAGTCTTATATAAACATTCTACATAAACATTCTACATAGACATTCTACATAAACATTCAAGTGGTGCTCGATTGGCCCACTCATCATGTCAAGTGAGAAGCAGTCACAAACAGGCTGGCGATGCTGTCATCTCACACACTGGAGTGACGTGTGAGTTAGCTAGCAATGCAGTGCACGTGTCCATTTGTTACGCAGCGCCGCACGCGGATCTTAAGCCGTAATAAAGAGTTGAGTGTCGGGAATCGCTAACGGAAATTAAATTCGGCATTTTGATGGGGGAGCTGCACAACCGCGTGCCTGAAATAACAATGCATACATCGGCAACAACAACAAAAAACTACATAGCGTCTGCATTTGGCATCTCTAATAAGCAATTTGTCCCGATGCCTTTCATTGACTATTCCAGCCATTTCCAAGCAACGCACGTGGTACGCAATGTCTACCCTTCTTCACTCAGACCCACCCCACAGTTCCACAAGCTCACATTAGTCTACAGCAGGTTTTTAACCCTTCACACGAACTCACGTGACCAATAAAATGTAATATCTCTGCTAATTGCTCTGATGCTTCCGCGTACAGCTGCAATGTTGTAATTATTCTTCTGCTGCACTAGAATTATTTTTTTTAGGTTTATTTGATTCGTGTACACGGATGATCAAATTTAGCCAGTCGCCCGGCTATAACACACGGGAACACAGCAGCAGCATTATCAACAACACAACAAAACAAACTCAAACATCCTGTAAATGTCTGCTATCAAATCTCATCGGACCTCACGAGCAAATCTTGTCATGCCATCACAGACATTACGTTGATCGGAAAATTTGCAGTGCTAATGATAACACTGGACAATGAAGCGGAACGAGGATACACGATATACGCCTTTAAAATGAAAGGGACTCCGGCGGATATGACTACGCGTATCGTGGACTGAAAAGAAAACAAATGAAAAGGTTCTGGAGAAAGCTGATGGTGAAAGAAAACTATTAGAGGTGATACAATCAAGAAAGCTTTGCCTACGATGGTCATGACATGAGAAAACAATGGAACTTGTTCGGAAAAGCAGATGATGCTTGGCACAATACCCGCTTCGCGCTCGTGAGGAAGACCGAGGATGACAATGGATGGATGACATAAAAGCATGGACGAGGCTCACGCTGGAACAGACAGTGGCGAGCGATTGCCCATGGTGCGACCAACCCTCGGATGGAGGATGGCTGAAGACAAGAATCCAGCACGGCAGCTGAAACAACGGGCACGTTCATATTCTTAGTTCTTTCGGTAAAGTCACGTTGAATTACTGCAGTCACGAAAGCTTTAAATCAAAATTTAACGGGCACGTTGCTTACATCCCCATGGCTCTGTCCCACCCTGGACTGTAAATGCGACATCGCAGTTCATCAGTCGGCAAAGCCATGTGCGGTGGGCTAAAGTGCGAGCACACTCTCACGTCTTCCAAGACGTCTTGGCGGTATGGCAGATTCGGACTAATTACCCTCGAGAGAGGTTGTCTAGAGCTCCCTTTAGTTGAGGCTGTTCTGCCAGCAGGGGTTCGAGACAGCGATTGGCAGGGCTGCTGGTTTGGCCCGTAACCTTTTATGCAAATTACATATGCATACTCTCGAAACAATGCTTTTGTAGACATTGTTATGACACGAATCAAACGAGTTATGCGACAGCACGTGCAAAGCACTGGCTGATGCCCTATGGCGTAAACAGTTGAATGTATTTGCCGCAGCAGATCGACATAGCTTTTGGTAAAAAAAAAAATGCCAATTAGCCGAGCATGTAGAAAATGAAGCTATTCCTAGGCAATCCGCGTTCCATTGCTGCTGCTGCTACTGCAGGAGCAGCAGCAGCCTCGTACGGCAGGGTGGGAGGATGGGGATGGGGTTGGTCAGTCGCGCCATTGTCGCGTCGTTCCAGCCAGCATCTCGGCAAGACGGCATGGGCCGCCGAGACAATGAGGGATGCGCGGAGTCGACCCCGGAACAATCGATTGACGATACCAAGGAAGGAAAAGTGTGGGATCAATTCTAATTTTGGGAATGAATGGAGTTGACTCCAAACCTCGGGATCGATTCCCAATTATTGAATCGAGATTAAACAGTTTGTTTTATTAGTTAAAAATCCCTAATTTAATTAACCAGTTGTGATCAATTCCCCTTGTTGTTCAAAGAGACCCTCACGACTCAAGGAAGCAGTCAACGTGATTCTACAGTCTGGAGTGGAAGGAGATACAATTGTGTGAGGTTGTATTAAAATAATGTTAGCATAATTATGATAATTTATTGTTTAGGAAAAAACAAGTTTTAATTACTACCATTTACTGGTTAGTATTTTTGTAATAAAGTAGCTATTTTTTTGTATGAATTGTGATTATTTATTGTTTATTATTCAAATATTTTGTTATCTTTTCAAATACATGTATATGTAGGTACCCGAAATATTCATGTACAACAACATATTCAGAACCTTCCGTTTGTGTTTATTCTGTTTCTGTATGCACAGGAGTTAGTTTTGATCAGTTAATTCTTGAACTGTCCATGCTGTATTAATCCAAAAACAATGTAGTCTACAACAATACATTCTACAACAATGAATGCTATAACACTACACTGTGCATGCATTCTACAACAAAAGGTTCGTAGTCGGTTCGTTTTTGGAAGGTAACTGGGGGGGGGGGGATTGAAATGAAAATTGATTCCATCTATTCATAAATCAATAATCGATTCTACGAACCACTCCAGAAACCTTGCAATCAGCCATCGCTAGACTGTGAATGGCCACGTTGCTCGGTAAGCCTGTGTGAGGGTCTGGACGTTGCTTCCCTGCCAGTTCGAGAAGCTTTCGTGCCAGGAGCCGCACAGAGCGCACCGCCGTGGTGGCAGGATAACAACAAAATGAGGCTGCGAATCAAACACACACACACCTCACACCTCACACGCTCCCCAGCCCTACAAAGATCATTCAGGCGACAGAATAACGGACCCAATGCCGGCACGACACGTTCAGCTTCGCTCTAGAATTGTTGACGATTCATCACGTTCAATACGTTTGTCAGGGAATGCTTGGGCAGCATTGTTAACAAAAATACAAATCCTTCACCATCGATTATAAATTCGGAGTACAACACACCCAGTGTTACTTAATATGAATGCACTATTTTATTTGCGAATGCAATGTATGGAATGTATAGTTAATTTGACCAAATAATTTAAAGTAAAACATTGCTTTCTGCACAATACAATATTAGTATTATTAGGAGCAAAGCATCGACAATAGATTTTTTTCCCTTCATCTTGTGCCCCCACATTTAAAGATTATACACATTTAACTGTGGCACCCTCTACTTAACTGTGACAAGCAACAGTCGAGCATTTTCTTTAGACTCAGGAGAAAATATCTCCGTTCATCCTTGTCCTTTTGAACCGTCAATGAACACTTGAACTAGTGCTGGTTTAAGCATGCCACAGAAGGCAATACTTGTACTGTGTAGAATATTATAAAACAAACATATTTCACTTCCACAATACTCAATATTAGAAACTACCCCAATCCTGAACCGAGTGAGGGCCATTTAAAAGGCTGTGAACCTCTAAGGAATAAGAGAATGATACTTCAGCTTCACTTCCTACGCGTTTTCAAATTAAAGTAGGTTCAGAAACGATCAAGACACCATCACAGCCATTGTAATGTCATGATTTAGTGGCTGTTGGCACGTTGAGCGATGACCTCCCTACTGCTAAAGTTAGATACGTTTGCTTAAAGCGAAGCTCCTCTGTTTGTTGGTCCTGCTATGATTACCCATGATCCCACTCTCCTGCTGTTAAGTCCATTGGCCCTTCGGAGACCCCTCTGCCTTTTAGTAGTTTTACTGCGCTATGGGTCTCACAAACCTCGACCATTTTCACATTACACTCACCCATGACTTTAACCCTGTCCCATGACGAGGATTAGGAGGTTGCACCTTTTGTTGCCCTTCAAATTGAATTGGCAATTGTGCTGTCGGCGTCACGTCATGAGCCAAACTCTTGCAAAAGCAGATTTATTTCTGTCTCACAGGACTTTGTCTGAAATCTATTCATGTCGCCTTTCTATGCACAATTTTGGAGGAAACACTTGTACACACGCTCTGCCGACATAGATATGTGCATTGCATGACAGGGCTGGAATGTGTCCCAAGTTAGGTGAAAAGTCCAGTTGAATGTGACGGGTTTGTGAAGGCATTGTCTACCGGCTGGGACTGTGAGCTCGCTCAGGGGTGGTTGAAACGTGGATTTGAACACAGATCTCTGGAGTGCGAGGCCAGTTTCCTGACCCCTGAGCTACCGTCCTTTTCCAAATGATTGGCATTTTGGACAGAACTGGAGAATTTCAATAAAAAAATGCACATACAGAGGGAAAAGATGATACCCTCGTTTAACGAAGGGAAAATACGAATGCTATAAACTGGAATATTTGTTTATACGTTCATTTTATATCACAGATCTATTGAAATCATGCTTATTGTCGCGTGTTATATTTTGTATCACATACATGTGACGATCTTTGCATTTATGGGGGTTTTGCACGATGTTTTAATTACTTATCCAAATAATTTTACCGGCATTCACCTCACGTGTGTGAAAATAACTTCCAATGGAATCTCACCTGTGAAAGTGAACCTTACTGACTGTAAATGAGAGCAAAACTAACACAGTTTAGAAGCCCGTTTTGTGCAACGTGCGCGCTTCATTCCGCAGGGTTGTCGTGTGGCTGATGCACAAAATAAGTACGCTCATACACGAAGCCACCGCGGTCAAAGCCGTTTGCAAACTTTTGCTCACAACTCACCCGCTGACGAACGAAGGGGACAGCTCTTGAATCCTGCAAAACATACAAATCCAATTACCATCTCAATCAGATTCCACCCAGATTCTCGTTTAAACAGTCCCAGGAAAAATGCATTCGACATGTAAAATTCGTCAAAATTATGGTCCCTAAAACTGTAGCATGATGTCATTTTACTTCAATAATCATACGTAATGCATAACAAAAACTCAACTAATTAATCAATGACATTGCCTTGATCGGGCAAAAAAACCCAGAGGGTAGACTTGTGAGTAAATGGCAGCCGGAGTGTTGGGTGGCCTTCATCCTGCAGTGGAAAGTCACTCACTGATGATGATGAATTATGTACATATAATGTAATATGAAAATCCCTTTCGATTAAGGTTGTTTGACCATACTTCACCCTGCTGGTTAGTGTGAGTTGGTGAAGGGGCTGGGGGGGGGGCAGCGTTGGTGAAGATATCACTTGCCACGAGTGACAGTATTATCCGTGGCCAGTGATTGAACTGCGATAACTGGGTTCATAGTGCAGTACGCTTATCGCCGCACCATGGCAACACCCACAAATGATCCTCATGGCTGTACCCCAGGGACCAAACAATACAAAATGGCCGAGGCAATTAAATGTTTTATTTCTGGGACAATATATATTTTTCCAGGGGTGTACTTCACTCCGCGACTGGGATACCAATCAATCCCAAATGAGTGTCACACTCTGCGATGTCGACACGCAGCGAGGACGATTGTGCTGAAACCATGAACGCTCGCGGCACCGTGGTGGTGGTGCATCGTGAGTACAGCTCGTCGAGATGAGTCGACTGCCGCTTCGCCGACCGTCAACAGACTAAAAATTACTGCATCACGGACATTATGCGAGAGGCGGGGTACTATGGTACCCCGGGGTACCGCCATAAAGTTCATATAACGTACCTGCATGGAAAAGCTGACATATATCTGCCACATATTCACTGGGAAGACGATTGCAGTCTTTTCATTCGTAACACTCCCGAGTGCACCAGCGTGATAAAAGAGAAAACATTTAACACTGCTTTTGGCACTGAGGCGCAGCAAATTCCTATGGAGCCGGGAGTTTATTTGGCATTTGGATTTCCCTCCTATCTGCCAGCCTGCCACACACAGGTGTGGAAGTGACATTGGACGTTTTTACGCTTGGCTGAATTGAGATGGTAATTACTCCAAACTCCAGAGACCATGGGAATCACCGTAGCAGTCAGCCTGACCTCCATCACCCAAAATCCAATCAGGCCCGGCGTTACGGGGCAAGGCTATCATCAGCACTGCCTCAGGCTACTAATTATAATTCTGTGTGCAGCTGTGTGAAACACAGACGGATTACAAATAATTATCATGCTCTTTTTGCCAAAGGAACTCATCATACACACAACGATGCATTCCGGGGCTCAGTGTCACTCGTCTGTCAACTCGTGCTCTTCCTCTTGAATGTAACTAATTACGTGCTGAGAAATACACTTTATAGACGTAAGCACAGGATAATCAATAAATTACACCATGGTTGCAATTAGTTTTGCCTAATAACTTAAAACTGAGCAATCAAATCTTTGGGCAATGGTCCTTGTTTGGAGCCAATGAGAGAAGTGGCGGATGGAAGACTGGTGTATACTGTCAGTTTATTTGTACATATGTAACGTCTTGAAATGGCTTGGACATGTGGAGAGTCATTTTATGAACCACTTCCTATCGATGGTACTTTGTTGGTATAGGTTTATATTATGGCATTCACTATTTGTTTGTTGCAGATGTTCGGGGTACAAATCCGAGAGGCCGCCCTGATTAATCATTTCTGCCGGTGTATTACCTGGACAATATTCACCGTCTGCTTTACAGTGGGTATTAAAGATCCCGTATTGTCATTTAAAAAGAGGAGGCCATTGTGTGATGGAGTTATAGTGGAAATTATACAATTCACCTGTGAATTACTCAATTGAGAGCACACACAGCAACATTGCCACCTAAAGTGAGACTCCAACAGACCGTGTCTGGGAAACACAGGGCCTCCGTGATAGCCTTGTGCTATCATAACAAAAGTGCCAATACCATTTTTAAGAATTAATTATTACTATTTTGAATCACTCAAACATCGTAACATAATGTATTGATAATGCAGATACAATGTAGATGTTTTATGCCCACAAAGTGTTATCAGATCACTCACGTAATTCAGGGCTCACTTGAGTCAAAAATTCAACTGGGTTTCAAAATCTACTCCAGAAGTAATATGTCCAATTTTCACTCGAAATTATCTATTGTACGGACGCAAAACTCGTAACCTATGTGAACATAACGATATTGTCACATGCCTCCTTGCATCACCAACTGGGTGACGGATGAGAGCAGGAGGGGTGCTGTTATCAACAAAAGTGGTGCGTGTATAAATCAGACATCGGTGCATGAATCAGACATCGGTGCATGAATCAGACATCGGTGCATGAATCAAACATCGGTTCATGAATTAGACATCGTGCATGAATCAGACATTGTGCATGAATCAGATATCGGTGCATGAATCAGACATCGGTGCATGAATCAGACATCGGTTCATGAATCAGACATCGGTGCATGAATCAGACATCGTGCATGAATCAGACATCGGTGCATGAATCAGACATCGTGCATGAATTAGACATCGTGCATGAATCAGACATCGGTTCATGAATCAGACATCGGTGCATGAATCAGACATTGGTGCATGAATCAGACATCGTGCATGAATCAGACATCGGCGCATGAATCAGATATCGGTGCATGAATCAGACATCGGTGCATGAATCAGACATCGGTGCATGAATCAGATATCGGTGCATGAATCAGACATCGGTGCATGAATCAGACATCGGTGCATGAATCAGACATCGTGCATGAATCAGACATCGGTGCATGAATCAGACATCGGTGCATGAATCAGACATCGGTTCATGAATCAGACATCGGTGCATGAATCAGACATTGTGCATGAATCAGACATCGGTGCATGAATCAGACATCGGTGCATGAATCAGACATCGTGCATGAATCAGACATCGGCGCACGAATCAGATATCGGTGCATGAATCAGACATCGGTGCATGAATCAGACATCGGTGCATGAATCAGATATCGGTGCATGAATCAGACATCGGTGCATGAATCAGACATCGGTGCATGAATCAGACATCGGTGCATGAATCAGACATCGGTGCATGAATCAAACATCGGTTCATGAATTAGACATCGTGCTTGAATCAGACATCGTGCATGAATCAGATATCGGTGCATGAATCAGACATCGGTGCATGAATCAGACATCGGTGCATGAATCAAACATCGGTGCATGAATCAGACATCGGTTCATGAATCAGACATCGGTGCATGAATCAGACATCGTGCATGAATCAGACATCGGTGCATGAATCAGACATCGGTGCATGAATCAGACATCGTGCATGAATCAGACATCGGCGCATGAATCAGATATCGGTGCATGAATCAGACATCGGTGCATGACTCAGACATCGGTGCATGAATCAGATATCGGTGCATGAATCAGACATCGTGCATGAATCAGACATCGGTGCATGAATCAGACATCGGTGCATGAATCAGACATCGTGCATGAATCAGACATCGGTGCATGAATCAGACATCGGTGCATGAATCAGACATCGTGCATGAATCAGACATCGTGCATGAATCAGACATCGGTGCATGAATTAGACATCGGTGTATGAATCAGACATCGTGCATGAATCAGATATCGGTGTATGAATCAGACATCGGTGCATGAATCAGACATCGTGCATGAATTAGACATTGGTGCATGAATCAGACATCGGTGCATGAATCAGATATCGGTGCATGAATCAGACATCGGTGCATGAATCAGACATCGGTGCATGAATCAGACATCGGTGCATGAATCAGACATCATGCATGAATCAGACATCGTGCATGAATCAGACATCGGTGTATGATGTCCTTGCAGTCTGCAGTTTAAGGGGTTTAACATGCACAGTAGAAGAAGAAGATCTGACAAGATAATATACATGTCTTGTCAAAGATGCAAAAGAGAGTGAATTACATGTTGGTGGCCCCATTACAATAAATGAGGCAACGTGTGCATGAATCAAAAACGTACACAAATATTATTGAACTTCTAAATTAAGCACAACTTACAATTCGAACACTTGAGTATCATAATGAATTAAAAGCAATAGCAGTTGGTATTTTGTCCCCAGCCATAAATGATCTGCAATCCCTGAAGTGATGTTTCCACTTCCTTTGGACTATTTCACTCTTGTGCAATAATATTCGTTCTGCTAAAACATTGACGGATGGTGTTATTTATACCAAGAATAGTTTCTCAAATTACATTTTTATAATTAATTTAACTCTTGCTCATAGTACAGATGTATTCATGAGACCTCTACTTATGTAGATTTTGTTACTGAGGAACTGAACTCGTTAGCTCTCAAACATAAATACGTCTTCAATGTAACGCCAACGTATCGTCACAAGAAACTGACAGCTACCAAGATGTCTCCCATGCCATGCAAGAGTCACGTAAACAACATTTCAAACCTTAAGTCATTCACAGGATAGTCTCCCAGATAAACACTCGTGTGCCAAGTAAGACGAAAGTAGCTCACGGATAGGCACATGTACTTACGCTGCCAGTGCATATGGCAAGGTGTGCTTGTACTGCCATATCACAAGATACTCTCCGATATGTCCTCGATGCATTTTAGCACTAACGTTTCATATTAAATGTTTTTTTTTAAATCCAATATTCTCTATTAAATGCACTAGTTCATGAAAAATGTCTCATCCAAAACTACCACAGTGACTCTCGCACAGAAGTGTGATCTAGAGACAGGCTGATTCAAAGCAACTCACTGTTAGCATTTGCGACCCTGGTGTGGTACCGATATAATTAGGGTCAGTGGCACAGGGACTATGACAGAGAGGTTTTTTTCACATGCAACGATGTCTGTACAATCCACCAAAACTGCACATCCCAA